AAGAAGAAAAATAACGTGACCAATTTAAACATAATGTTTGCTACTTGATATATCCTTGCGTAGTTTTCCATGTCAACTTCTGATTGGATGTGATGAAACAAAGAGTCAAGATTAGTCATGCACTCAAATGACCTCTGCGCCAAAAGACATTGAGTCATGGCTGCATATGAGATGTAACAAAAACTAAACATTGAATGGGAAAAGTGTGGAGATAATTGACTACAAGAGTAAAGGAACTCCATGAAAAGAAACATTGATGGCACATTAGGATTATAGCACGCTTATGACAATCTTTTTGCCAAGATTTGATCTCTTCTTTTTTTGTTACAGCATTCTGCTAAGGTGGCGATATCTGCTATCGTGGCACTGCAAGATTCAGTATTAGAAAATCCTAGCATCGAAACCCATGACTCTTCAGCCCAACAATCCGAATGCCTGCAGCGCATCTGTATTCATGTACGCTCACTGTCTCATTGGGCACCTGCCAGTATCGGCCCATATAGTCAAGCTTCTGGCATCAGGCGCTTACCAGCCCCCTACATTAACGTAAGCGGTAGCGGTGACGGAGATACGCTCGTATTCTACGCCGGCCAGATTGGATTGCTGCCGGAGACGCTCGAGTTACCGGCTCTAGATCCACTGAAGAGCGTACCTGAGGAGTTACAGGTTCATTCTATGCCTTGTCACTTCCGGAGGCACTTCCATTCCGACGATCAAGTATGCCCAATCGAATTATTCCCAAAATCAAGGGAGGCTTGGCTTGCCTTGCGCAATTGCCATCGCGTGGTTCAGGTGAGCTTCGATAATTTCCTTTTTCTTATTTGATAAAAATAATGGGAGAGTTGCATTGGGTTCTAGTTTAGTCCATTATTTTAACTCTAAATTGCTTCCTCATTTGTTTGTCATCAAAATCATTGCTTGATTTAGTAAAGTTTGATTGAAATTTGATTGCTTTAAAGTTCGACAAGAGACCTTAGGCTGAGTATCATTCACGTCTTCTCGTTTTTATGTCTGCCAAAGAGGCGCATGGAAATCTTCCGTTTGTCGGAAATTCTCAACATTTATTCGTGATTTGTCCAGCAGCAAATGCTTATGTATCTTCACAATTTAGTGAGCTTAATGTGGTCAAATTTTTTGTCTTATCTTTGCGTTATCCTTACCATCATCCGGCAAGATTATTACTGGCTTTATTCGGCGAATATTTTAGCAATGCCAAGTCTTCCTCTGGTTTGGCAATGCAATCTTGGAGAGCGGAGAGCCAATTCAGAGTATTATAATCTGGTGTTATTGACCTTCCAATCTCTTCATAAGATATTTTCACTCTAAATGGAGGTGAGCTCGACATTTTTGAACCAAGAGAATTCTCGGAATCCAACTGCAGAACTTTTTGGCCTAGGAAATCAACGGTCCTGCTTTCACCAAATTTGCACTGCGTTTTTTGCTGGGAGTCTCTCGATATCTTTTTATATCATATGTATTCTTAATCACTCCACTGCCATCGAATCGTCAATCAGAAGAGCTTTGAATGAAATTGAAGTAGAACTATCGACAAATAAAGGTCTCTTAATAGATAAAAGAAACAGTCAGTTGAATAAACCTTACTAATTGTTGGTGCCAATTAAAATGCCCGCAATATAAATGGACTGATGCATAAATATGATATAAACATTTCAACGGTCTCCATACTCTTCTAGTACATGCAACTAGTCCAACATGACAATAAGTCATATTTAACCCTCAAATCAAAGTTTGCTACTTTATTAAACATGTAAGTAGCATCGTTTTAATTGCAGCAGAAAAAAAAACATTATCGCATGCTTCAAGTCTGCGACTTTCTAATTCCAGCGTTCATAAAAATTTGTCTCTATTTTGCTCGTCCTGTTTTAGAGTTTATTAATGTAACCTCGCTTATTACTTAATTAGTGTATATTACACTAAAGAATCACAGATACTAACGCCCACGGTGGATCTTATTCCCATCACATCGCCTTTACCCTATTTTCTTACTCCTCACATCTTTGAGATGTGCAACTCCCTTCTTTCCTCTCAATTGTATTTTTATAAAACATTATTAACTATGTAACGCTTATCTATCTCACTTCTTTTTTTAGATTTATCACTTATCCTGCTTAAAGACAAGTCTCTCTGCAACTATCCTATGTATATGCAGGGTTTTTATTTATCATTTTGAAATTTGCTTTCATCGTGACGCATGTTGCTCGTTATATAATCTTCTTGCTTTTATATCTGTTTTTCGATTTCTTTTTGAAAACGTCAAACTGAAGAGTTTACCTTACTTTTTCGGCAAGATCTTTATGCTATCCTCATATCGTGTAAAAACTTGCGTGTGCGTGTGCGTCTACTTCATTCTCCAATTCCAAAACCAGAGTATGAGGTATTATCATGCTCTGAATGATTGTGCTACTAGGTTTTTTCTCTACAGGTAAATTAAGACATATTTAACGAGTGAGGAGGTTTTGTAACTACAAATGGATCTGGAATAAGGACTCGAGCTGCTTAGGATATTCGTAGTGGTATAATGATTATGGTTCAAGGAATTGATTAAAGGGACTAGCAATCCTTATTATTTCATTGAGTCTGATATAAGAACTTAGTTATCCCTGCTCCCTCAAGGTGATTTAAGGACTGATTGACTCATTTTCTCACAATGACAACAAGAGACTTCGCGATACCACTAAGATTTACCTAAGCTTACCTACCAAAATGTTTTCTTATCCAGGATAGATGGTAGTTTCGACTTATGAGCCTTATCAGCGTCACCAATGGAAATCAAATTTTGTTAGTGAAATGTATAATTTTAGTATGTTAGCATTACGCCAAACTTTATCGGGTGCCAATTGGTCGCAGGAGTTTGGAAGGAGCATAGATGCGGTCGATATTGGAGTTAATCCTGGATCAGAATACCTTTAGGGAGGCACGTCTAAGTGATCTTTAATGACATCTTGAGACACATTCATCTCATTGTAGGATGATTCCTCAGTTCTTCATCGCCTTATGCGACTTTGGATGAATACGTATCTTACGATTTACTAGTTGTCTCTAAACATACTAATTCT